CAATATTTACGCTATCTCGATATTATTTACAGGAGCTGAGCTATCGACCTAACGGATTATGACTGTAGTAGCGAGCTGCTACACTGTATCAGCTTTAGACTACAGTAGGAAATAGTGGCAACAGGGGGGCGCAAGGATTATGGTTACATCATTTCCTATCTAGGCTAAAGCTGCTACGCTGCTACGCTGCTACACTCAAATTACGATGCTGAAGTGGCCTATTGGCATGCCATGTTTTGTACCAGGCCAGCTACTCGATCGATATTGACCAGCCATAGCTGAAGCCAGAAGCTTGGGTTTGGCAGGGCGGTGTGATGTACGACGACATGGTTCAATAAACGTCCCAGCCCCTGGGATTGTATCGGTGAGTACTCTCTAGAAGTCCTAGGACGTCGTCGTACAAATCTCCAAATCTCTAGGTTTGTGTCATCGGTATTCTAGCAACTCATCAAGACCCCCATCATCTCATCCATCCCTGAACCAGACCCTCAGGCACACCTCCCCTCCCCCTGGACCATGTTCACCGTACCTGCCGCAAAGAGAAGAGAGGTCGCAGGACTCAGATTGCCAAATCCTGTCTCCAGCGCGCAGGCGCCCGACTCACCTCAGCTCAGTTGTCCCTAGCATCAGAAGCGGGGGATCAATACTTCACATCTCAGAAAGAACGTGTAACATCCCCAATCCATCCCTTACGCAATAACACCATCACCCACCTCGCAACCCGCTACCGATTCCCCCAATCCATCACTCCTGACTCAGCGCCGTGCATAACACACCCCCACCACCGGCACACTCCGCGCTTCTGCCGAAAAACCAGATCCGAATACCAACTACTCATGTAGGCGCAGTAGATCCAACCCGCGCCACCTCCCCATCAGATCTCAGAAAACTTCCCATCGCGGGGGATCGGGACAGGGAACGTGCATCCACCAACCGAGAAGGGCATGGTGGTCGTGCGCGGCACGCGGCACGGAGCGTTAGCGCCGAGCGATTGTCCGGTTCTGGCGCGTAGTGGGGCGAGGAGATGCTCGATGGAGGTGCGTGCAGTAACCGGAAGTTCTGGATGCGGATGTTAGGATTGAGTCGAGAGGAGAAATTCCTGTTTGTTTCGGTGAGCAGGCAGGGATTCCCGGCTGCATGGGCTGCATGGGCTGCATGGGCGAGCTACGGATGTGCCACGGGCCTCTTTGGGGGGCTTAGTATGGATGGATTGGGGAGGGAGTGGGAGACGCGATAGCGAGGGGAAAGAGACGTGCATGAGGGGTCGATAGTCGCCGATCCCGCGGCTTCCACATCTTCTCCCGCCGGGCCAATTTCTATGCTGCGTTTTCCTGTTTCCTGCTTTTAGTCGGCATCTTGCCAGGCCGGGCATGCAGGAGGGGTGTCGTAGCATGACATGGCTGGGAAAATGCGATGAGTCTGTGCCGTTCGTGCCGTGGTCGCCTCCTGACAGATTCTCACACATAAGTACGGTGGGTTCTCTCTGTTTCTCCTGTCGCTTGGTTTTGGAAATGGGGAAGCTCGCATCTGCCTCTTATCTGTCTCTATCAGCTCAACTTTTGCGGCTTTGCTCAGTGCTTTTTATCCTTTTGCTTCATCTCTGAAACGACGGCTACGAGACAGTATGGTCTACTCACTTGCGTATCGGCGCCCGGCGTATGTGGAGCCTGAGATTTATGCATCGAGGCAATCGGGGAGTGAGAAGGATGCTAAGGAGGAGTCTGTTCGGTCGGGAAGGTCTGGAAAGAATTCGGGGATTCCGGCGGCATTGGCTTTTGATAAAATTGTCGATGGAGGGACTTGTGCTGTGAGTACCCGTTTCTCACCTCTCATATTCATTGTGGGAGCAAACTTCATCGGATTTGTTGCTATTTTTAATTTATTTCATCTGTCATGGATTTCGTCGATGTGCTACCATACTAATACCACCCCAGCCATGCACGCTCCGCGATTTCATGGACTACATGCTCTACGTCGAGCACTCGGCCGAGAATCTGAAATTCTACCTCTGGCTACACGACTACACAGAGCGCTTCAACAACCTCACCGAGTCCTCCAAAATGCTCTCCCCACAATACATCTACGTCTCCCCCGAGCGCACCTCCTTGGTCACCATGCCCCTCCCCGCCGTCCCCAAACGCCAAAGCTTTACCAACGAAGTCTTCAAAGGCACCGTCTTTGACAACGACCCCTTCCGCACCCCCTGCTCCTCAGACTCAGACCTCACCGACCGCCCCGCAATCTTCTCCCTCCCCTGGTCCAACGTCCGCATCCCCGGCAGAAAAACCCCCTCGCCCACGAAACCCAACCGCACCCTCGCCATCTCCGCCTTCGCCAAAACAGGCATGCGCCCACCCTGTACGTTTCCCCCCCTTTCCATTCCCCATTACCAACTCCCATTAACACTCCACAGTCTCTACACAACCCTTCCGCACCGAAATCTCACGCGTAATAAGCACTTACCTCCTCCCCTCCTCCCCCCACGAACTCAACCTCTCCTCTCGCGACCGCGCCGCCCTCCTCGCAGCTTTAGAACGCACCACCCACCCCTCGGCCTTCATCCGCGCCCGCGCTGCCATCGACGATTCCCTACACAATCAATCCCATCCCAATTTCGTCCGTTGGGCCATCGCTAATGGAAACCCCCCCCGCATCTCCTTCGCGTGGTGGGGCGGCATCGCGTTGCTATTCTTCGGCACCCTGATAGCGATGCTTCTCACCCTGTCACGCGCGCCGAGGGGATACAGGATCCTTGCTGCGATACCGTGGGTTATTGGCGCGGCGACGTTTGGTGCCGCAAGAGAGGGATTGTGCGTTTGTCTGCATGCGATGCGAGCACGGCAGGTGCGGCCGTGGGAGTTATTCGGGGACAGCGAGGCGGAGGTGGAGATGGGGAAGGCGGAGTTGGATGGGATGAGCATTACGACGAGTGGGTTGAGCGTTATGATGGGGGTGGGGGATGCGCCGTGGGTGGGACGGTATAAGAAGAGGGGGCTGTTGAGACGGGTGTTTGAGAGGCAGGTTAGGGTTGTGGAGCCGGCGCTGAGGGAGGTGCAGAATACCTTGTTTGTGCAGGCGGCGTTGGTGGCGGTGCTTGGGACGGCGGTGGCGACAGGGGTGTTTGTCGCGATGCCGAGTGGGAATTTCTTTTGAGTTGCTTGTGATGGTGTTTGGTGGTTTGTTGTATATATTGAGGGCGTGCTTGGTGTATAGTGGGGGTGTGTGGGCTTGATATACTTTTTTGCTTTGCGTTTGTCTATACCTTTCTTCTTTTTAATAGGGTTTGCTCGGAGTACATACGATTATAACGAGCTATGATGAGACGCCCTTATGGCGGCCACAAATATATGATATTTATGACCAGTTGAATGGTATTAGTGCGAGACAAGGCAGTTGCCTGTCTTCGATGTGATTGAGGAGAAGTCTGGAAAAGCAAGCCTTGTTATTTTGGTATTGTTACTAGCAGTTTAAGATAATAGTCCTCATCTTTTCGGCTCCATTTTTGAGAGGCTGGCTTGTTTGCTTGCAGCCCTCAGTGATTAAGAGCCTTCATTTCAACTATAGTTCCTGTAAACACCAGCTGTTTCGTAAAGACTCAGAAGCCAAATTCAGCCTTGATAGTTTCCGAGATAGCCGCCATGGTCCAGGAACTCCGAAGCATCAACGTCACTTCATTAGGATGGGGGAACTAGTCATGGAGTCAATACCATTTATATACACGGTCACAATTATATTCTTCAAACAACACGCACATCAGAGCGGACCGAAAGAAATTCCATCCTCGTCTAACCCTGGCTTATAAGCCGTGAAAGTAATAGAACATCTCTAGATGCCAGGACGTCTAAATCCACACTCATTGCACTCCCCAATATGCCCGGTTCCAGCTTTCCATGCCTCGCGAACACTTCTTGTCATTTTCCACATCGGGCCGTAATTTTCTTCGCCGGCCTTCTATATTCAGTGCGATATCCCACTCCTCCACCAACAGGCTTAACGCCTCACTTTATCTCCGCAATCCTAATTCCTCCATACCAGACTGAATACCATCTATCGACGGATCTAGGCACTCGCCACAACTGGCTCGGGAGCCTGCTCTATCTTCGCCTTCTCAGCTGCCGCAGCTGCCTTGCCCTCGGGGCTGTTCTGGTACAACAATATACGGGTAACCTGGATAGCACCAACGCATCCAAGGAAGAAGTTGACTGTGGCGAGACTGGGAGGTGGTTAGCACCGGCACGGATAAGGTAGGGGTGGGAGAGAACGTACAGAATGTTCTTGGGCTTGATGATCAAGCACCAGCGTGTCCAGATTGCGCCGGTGCAAGTGAGGGCAGCGTTCTGAGTAAGAGAGAGGGACTCTGCTGGGCGTGCGAAGTCGGAAACACCAGCGAGGACAAGGGTCCACTGGTTCGAGTTAGCTATGTGCTCAAACGATACTGGCATCGACGAGGGGTCGAGGAATCGTAGATTCCAAGTGATGGGGAAAGTGTACCTTCATGACCGGAGCCCTATTCGCGAATTAGCTTTCTTGTACGCCGGTATATGAATTCAACCCATTGGATCGCGTGGCTTACCAGAAATGCACCGTCTTAACTCCGATAGGGCTGTCCCAGGCAGTCTTGAACCAGCTCGCCTTTGCGGCTCCCTGTGCCTCAGAGGAAGTGCCCTGGAAGCGTCGGCCGGCGCGGGTTGTGTTGCGGGCGAAGGCCGATTGGAATTGAGCCCTCGAGGCATTGTTGAGGATAGGGCGGGCGGTGCGGAAGAGAGTTGCCATTGTGACGGAGTGTCGAAGCAAGGGCGCTTCTATCAACTTGATCGTTATTCGGACGAGGGAGGGGAAGGCGAGTATCGAGGCCGGTGCAGTTAAGCTTCAATGAGGCCGATGAGGTGGAGTAGATTATATTCGGGGTGCGAGGCTGACGACTCACAAGAATGTTGAACGGCCTATGTGGAGAGTTTGGGGATATAATCCTTGTGCATCCTCCAATCAGTCGCCGACATTGCATAAATCGGGTGTTTGTGCACGGCGCGGAACAACGTTTAGGCGACGTCGGATCAACAGCTTCGTGAATCGGAATTGGAGGTAACAAGACCGCCAGCTCGAATCTTCAAGCATACAACTGATCACCATGTCGGGTAAATACACATTCACCAAAGGCCTCAAGGAGGTGCGATTCCTGCTGTGCCAGACTGGCGAGACGAGCAATGCTACGAGGTGCGACTCCCCCGTCCCAGCTCCGTTGTTTTTCGGGACCCCCATTGCGCCCCGGATGCAATTGAATGCGACCCGCACATGCGTGCAAGCAGTTGAGGACATTTGCTGATTCTATGAAACCCTCAGATCTTTTCTCGCACGCGCGTACCCCACGATGAAGAAGTACAACCCGTCCACGCCAATCATGATCCGCGAGGCCGCAGGGACACAACCACAGGTTTTCGCCCGCTACGGTCAGTACAACATCAGTCGTAGAGAAAGGATATCTAGGGCGCACTTCAAAGATCGAGGAGAACAGTATGCTGACAATGAGTTTGCAGACTTCGGCAAGGAGAAGAGCGAGCTATTGGCTGGGTTGTCGGATAAGGAAATCGAAGAGAAGGTTACTGGACTTGTGAAGTCCGAGGCATAACTTGTCGGTGGTGGATGAGACTGATGGCGATGGGCAACTGTATATATGGGATAGAAGAGGGCCATGAATGAAGATTTGTACGAGCTGGACCCCCGAAAGCCTATGCGTGTGCCTACGAACGAGACTATGTGCCGTTGGTGTGCGAGTTTGAGAAGTACTGGGAGGAATTTGTGCAACTGCATTAATGACACCCTCGAAAAGAAAAATGGCAATATTTCACGTGGAAATGACGGCTAGCCGGTAGGAATAAGGGATGGAGCTGCTCGTCTCTAATGTGAAAGGAGGGCCTGACATGCCAAAGGAAGGAGCAACCGACTTGTGTGCCAAAGGGGGTGGAAGGAACGACCGAGTTGCTAAAGGAAGGAGCGACTAACTTGTTTACCAAGGGAAGGAACGACCGGCTTGCTTTCCTAAGGAAAGAGCGGCTGACTATAGTTGCCAAGGGAAGGAGCTACGGACTGATTTACTAAAGGGAGGAATGGCTAGCTTCAGTTACTAAGGGAAGGGACGTCTGACTTGCGTTCTAGAGGAAGGAATGGCCGACTTCAGCTACTAAAGGAAGGAATGACCGACTTTCTTTCTAGAGGAAGGAGCCGACTTGCTTTCTAGAAGATGAACTATACACAGTCAGAGCCCGTCTTTAGGCTAGACTACTAACTTAAACATTAACGTACGCACCGAATACTAAATTGGTGTGCTCGAGTAGTCACCATGGAAATGAGCTATGATAACTTTCGACCTTCACCCGAGCTATATGACGACTCGGATTCAGATGAAGAAGAAAACACCCGAGAGGCTGCATCTGCCGGGAGCCAATCAACGAAGAAGCAGTAGTTGGGAAGAAGGTAGGCTTTCAACCTGTCTTTCAATTGAGTTCGGGCGCCAATCTTGTTGTGACAGCTAGCCCAGACAAATGAAAATAATTGTACGTGGCTGGTGTGGGCAATGACCCGCGCGGCGACGGGTTACTCGTTCCCGTATATAGCCATGGTATTTCTCGTAGTTTTTAAAACGCCAGTCTTTCAAGCCATCCATATACTCCTGTCCACAACCCCACTATTCTTCCTCGCTCTCGCTACTCTCCCCACCCCCCTTCGCCAACTCTCTTTCCAGCTCAGCCTCAAGGTCAACCTCCTCCTCCCTCTCCTCCTCACTCTCCTCTTCCTCCATCCCCCCTTGGGTCGGACTCCCCAAGTCCAGCACCTCCACATCCATATCCCCATCCGCATCTTCATCCTCATTCATATCTATATCCACACGTTCAACCACTCTCTCTTCCCTTCCCCCCAACGGCGTCCCAAGCCCCAACCCAAACGGCCTCGTCGGCGCTCTCCCCCCGGGATACTCAATCGTCAACCCATCATCACTCTCACTCTCACTCAAGCTCTTCTCCCTCCTCCTCCTCCCCGCAGTCTTCTGCCTCTTGACCTCCTCCTTCGGCGCCGCCACGCTCTTCCTCCGGCCCTTCGGCGCAGCCTTCACGGGACTCTCATCCTGCGCTGCTCCCCCCTCCTCTCCCTCTGCTCCCGATGAACGCACAAATGCCATCTCGAACACCGAGTCGACGGGCCGCAGTTCCCAGCCCGAACGGCTGGCGTCCCAGACGAGCACGTAGCGTGCGGCTTTCTTGGGGGCGCCGGAGCTACGTGGGCCATGGTAGAAGGAGGTGGATGTTGCGGTCGACATGGTCAAGTTGTATTTGTGCTGGTCGGAGGTGGAGGGTTTGAGGAGGGCGGAGGTCGCGGGCGCGGAGAGGGGTGGGGAGTCTGTCGGTGTTAGCTAGGGTCGACAATGGAGCGGGGGGGGAGGGGGACTGTACATTTTATGGCTGTTATGAGGTCTTTGTTGCTTAGGCCTTGGTTGAGGAGGGCAGGGCTGAGGAAAATGGGGTAGCTCCCTGAGGTTGGGGGCTCGGAGGGTGCAGCCATTGTATCGTTGTGTTTAGCGTCAGGGTTAACGTTGGAGGCTGTGGGGTGGGGAGGGATGTGCTGTCATTTGTTCGTAATTGGTGACTGTTCGAATGCACAGGGCCAGGCGATGGGGTGCAAAAGATTCGTCTATGTGAAGGCCAAAAGCCAGTTATAGATATTCTCTTTGTGGTAGTTAAGAGTGTAGCAGGTTGTCGTGGATGATGAGTGAGGCTGGTTCTGGCTCACTATGTAAGCCGCCGGGTGTCACCCGGATCGGCGCTTACCGAAGATGCGCCGTCGGCGCTAGCGTCCCCATCGAACTACTTCTGGGCCGCTGAGTTTACTGTTTAAATTCTACCTAAAATCTAAACGGTAAATTCCTATAAATGGTAATAAGAAAATAGCTTACTGACCTTACAACCTACAGAGCCAGTGATTCATTTTAATAGTATCGTTGCTAGCAACTGTTGGAATTATTGTGGTTGATAGTGACTGGAAGCAGCACAGCCCTTGTACTGAGAATCCTCTTTTATTTTTATCACTTCTGGAGCAATTGCTAGTCTATCAAGGTAACTACTACGAGACCCTATATAACTCTTATTATATGGGATGATTTGTCCTAAACGACCTGGGTAAATCGAAACCGTAAAAGGTAAATAGCGGCGAAATGGAACATCCTAACCTCTAAATGCAAACAACGACCTGCATTATTACCGTAGCAGCCCCCCAACCTTATCAAAAGCAGCAAAAACACAACAATGCTTGGCAAGCTACGCATCGCCCACCCAAAGTCAAGCCGTGGTAGACTGTCCATATACTCCCGCATCAGCAACACCTCCGTTAGGATGAGCCTCAGCTACCCTTCTAATACGGGGTTCGTAACACCGTGCCCCCATCGGCCTCCATTGCCTCCCCTCCCCCGAAGGGAAGGGCCTCTCGGACGCTCATTACCGCGGGGGTTCCAGTCGCCGCGAGTGTTATAAGTAATGTAGCCACCCACATATGGACCACCACCGCTATACCCGCCGCCACCACCGTACACTCCACCGCCGCCATACGGTCCACCCCCACCATATGCTGGCCCACCACCACCATACGCTCCACCGCCACCATACCCACTGTCACGTCCTCTCTGCGGGCCCATCGGACCTCCTCTCCCAACACCCCGCCCACCCCTATAACCCTGCCCCTCTACTCCATCCGCTCGTCTTGCCCCCTTCTGCTTCCGCTCAACCGTGAACTCAATCGGTTTCAGGGGCGTCCTCACCCACTCTAGACCATGAATCCCCAAACACACCTGTCTCTCTTTCGACATCGTCCACGCCTGAAAGCACTCCCCTAGACTAAGCTCCAACCCGCCATTATGCTCTCCCACCCCCGCTAACTCCACGATCCAAGCGCGACAGTACTCCCCCTTCGGGTCATAATCCCACGACTGCTTAATAGGATTAAAGCTGCGACCGTCGCCGCGCGGGTCATTTCCCACACCAGCCACGTACTGCCAGTTGCCCCAGCAGCTGCTGACGTCGTAGTCCTCGAGCGCGTACTCGTACCACTCTGCGCCCAGGCGCCAGTCAAGCTCGAGGTGCTTCGCGAGGAAGTTGGCGACGTTCTGCCGCGCGCGGCTGGATGTGTATCCCGTTAGCGCTAGCTCGCGCTGGCTCGCGTCGATGAGTCCTGTACCGGTTGTTCCGTTGAGGAAGCGCGCGAGCGCTGCTGAGCTGGCGGGATCAGTCGAGGGTGTGGTCCATGGTTGCGAGAAGTCGCGGCGGAAGCCGCCGATGGAGAAGAGGAGTGCACCGTATTTTCGTGTGCAGAGGCGCATGTAGTCGCGCCAGAGGAGTTCGTACCGGATGGCTGACGTGCCGCCCGTCTCGCCCTTGCCGAAGCCAGGAGTGGAGGCGCAGGAGGGGAGGTTGGAGTCGCCAGATTCGAATGAGACGAGGGAGTCGTGTATTTGACGTGCTGTGATGCAGCCTTGAGAGAGGTAGGAAGAGAGGCGCACGCTGTAGTCTGCGCCCATAAGGTCGTTTCGCGTGTCTTTGTAGGTGGTGATGGCGCCGGATTCGAGGAGGTGTAGGAGTCGGGATTTGGCGGCCTGGGATCCGCCGTGGAGGGTGGGGGATGGTGGCATGGAGCTTGGGCGCAGTGGGAATGTGGGGAGAGGCGATTGGGATATGGGTGAGAGGAGAGATGATTCAAGATCTTCGTAAGAGTTTGGTATAACGAATGGTGGAGATTGAGGCGGAATTATTGACATTGGAGGTAACGGTGGTAGTGTACCTTTGGCCGGCGTGGGTAGGAGAGCCCGAGGCGCATTGAGGAGTGGTTCAACAAGCTTTCGGTAGGTGGTGAAAACATCTGGAAGCTCACTGATGTCTTTGAGCGGGACATCATCGCTGTTTGGGTTAGAATCCTTCATATGAGCATCACAGATATGGGACACAGTGTTGCAAAGCACACGGTACAAGGGGAGACATACTCATCTACGAAGTACTTCTCATCCTTCCACAACTTGAAGTCGACACCTGCCGCGTCACAAATGGTCTTGCAATCTTTCTCGTCAAGTTTCTCCTCGACGCCTTCTTCGGCAGTCATCCACACAGCAGCGATATTCACCCCTTTCCCATTAAATTTGAACCCTGCTAAGAGATCTTTCAGAACATCGCTTAACATGCCAACTCTTACCTCGAGTCCGCTGCCCACATTTCCAAGGGTTTCCTTTAACTCCCAAACACTCTCCGCTATGAATTTAGCCCGGTGCGGCCCGCATCTCCAGAACTTGCTGATGCTGGATCGTGCCTCGGGATACGGACTCTTCTCCTCAGAGACTTTTGGGATGAAACCAGAGACTTCTATCTGCTGCGCCGGGAAAGCATAGACGGGGAGGAGGTGCGTATATGTTTTAGCGGCATCAGTAGCCGCAGTATGAAAGACTGGATTATCTTCTAGGCGGAGGTCCCTCCGTAAGAGATAGATGAGAATATTTGGCGGCGTCATCGTTCTTTGTGTCTCTCACACGTCCAACAATAAAACTGGAGGTCGAAGAAGATTGGATCTGACAGGACCTCGCGGAATCATGGCAGTATCGATGTCGACTTAGAGCTGGCAAACTAAGGGCAGAAGCACCGACAAGCCATGAGCTTGTTATATAGCATCTAGCTATGCTGATGACATAAGTCTGAGCAAGCTCCTGAGCCCGAAGGAAGGGCCCGCAGAATGGCGTCGGTCACACATGGTGCCACCAGTCCCAAGGGGCCCGCGTCGAGGCAGCCTCCCGAGGTCCCCGCGGAATGCAAAAGCGGGTTAGATGGGGTCCAGCTGCACCGCGCTCGGCCTATGAGCGCCGCACGCCATTCCCGACGCTCAGGGAGCGTCCCACCGGCGGTGTCCAAACGTGGACTCCATGAGCTTCAGCCGCAGTTGGATTGGCACGGAGAATGGGGGGTGGTGAGGGAGATCTCCTTCGCGGCGCCTCTGTCACGAACTATCACCACGGCTGCATCCCCTTCAATTTAGGAGCTGAGGGCGTGGGGGAAACTTGGTGATGGAGTAAGATGGAAGCGAGCACGGAGGGACGGAGAGGAGATCGGGAGTTGTGGAACAAGTGAGACGGGGTGTGTAAAAGGCAGTGGTGGAGAGGAGAGACACAGAGCGGATTTCTGCATCGCGATGCCCAGTTCCTGCTCCATCCATCCAACAGAGAATAGCCCCTGTAGTCTGAACATCATCACCCTGAGGCGTCCAATGATGGGCAGTATGTGTGGCCCATCGAGTTCATCGAGGCAGCTTAGCGCGTTTATGCCCATCTGCCCACTCATTAGTTTGTCGACGGCGTTGAGGCCGAGCGCGCGCGTTCGTCTTCGGGAACGAGGACTTGGGTCCTTGAGATCCCCCCAGCTAGACTAGATAGAGCCTCCCAGCGCTCGCTTTTTCATTGCCGTCGCGGGGGGGCGATGACCCTACAAATTCACACTTAACTCAGGATCTCCGTATGTATGTCAGGATGTATGTCAGAATGTATTTCAGAATGTATGTCTCAGTTGGCGTGTCCGGATGTACTGTGCTATACTGTACGATGTCATTCTTGGAGGTTCGTGATTGCATCACCGCCGCTGAGATATGAGGTGGTATCTGCGTCAATGCTATATTGGCCGGTGATATTATGTGCGTCCAATGTATTCGCGATGTGGTAAAGCGAAGAAGTTGTACAATGAAGTTTCACATCCGGCTTGTGTGATTCTGTGAATCTGGATCCATATCTCTTGTACACATGGATCCGAAAGCACTCTCCGATACTCCTACGATCATCATCAAACTGTACAGTAGCGTCAAAATTCGAGCCCCTCTCGCGCCTCTCGTCCCTACCTAACTAGGTAATTAGTTGGAGGGAAATCCCCACATTCCAGCGCGACAGGGATCGCAGGCTGCAGTAGTCGTGGTCGCCTATCTTTCCTGCCATTGGCCTTCCCGCGCGTCTCGCCCACACTACTCGTAGCAAACTCCACCGTTACACGCAGGGTAAATGTGATTGAGATCAAAACGCGGCACGTGAAGAAAAGAGCCAAGATGTTATTGTTTCGAGGCACCCAAACCCCGGAACACACTCCCACAAACAGGATCGGCGCTGGGATAAGCGGAATGAGAGAGGGCTATCCAACCCCAGCATCGCGAGAAGACAGGAACACGGATCCTCAGCTTTGCGCCACTTTGTCACGTTCTTGCCCGTCTTGTCTATTGCCGTACGATTGTCTTGTTGTGATGGCCCGAAACAGAAACCTGCCCGGTGCAACGATACATGAGGCTCAAGAGTCCTCTCTAAAATTTATCCCCCAGACCGGCCAGCTTCACATTCTTCGGCACCACATATAGCGCCCGACCCTCCGTGTACACCAATCCTACCAAATCCTCCACCCTCCCCTTCACCCACGCCTTCCTCTTGCTCGTCCCATTGTCTGGTCCTTCCTCCATCCACGACCTCACCACCCACCACCCTGCACTCTTAACAGGCCTTTTATATCCCAGCTCAAGTCTTGCTGTAACCCCCACGCCTCCGTCCAACCCCCTCATCCCTGTTCGTGCCAAACACTCATCCAGCAGCGTAGCCAACAAGCCTCCATGCACCACCCCCGGCCACCCCGACAGCCCCCGTCCCAGCCACGCGAGCACAACATACTCCCCCGTCGTCTTGTTGTAGAACACCCGCTGGTACCCAATCCCCCCGTATCCTGCAAGCGGTCCGCTCGTCAACCTGTTCGCGAGGCCGTCACCCCCAGGCGTCGTATATGCATCCCACGAATCCCATTCCTCCCCGGCCATCGATTTGGCGAGCGGCAGCGCCTCGGCGTCCGCACGGAGGGCCGTGGTGAGCTTCTGGCCCTCGGGGGACTCGGGGCTAGGGAGCGGAGGGGGCGCCAGTAGACCGGAGCTAAACTTCCCTACCGAGAGGCCCAGAAGGAGGAAGCCGGAGGCCAGGATGAGGGGGCGAATTGATTTTCGTTGGTTGCGAGGAGGAGGAGGCGGTGAGTGATTGGAATGTGGTGGTGGTGGTGTGAAGGCATTTAGTTGGGATAGCAGGTCGTTGTGATGGGGGGTTGGCACATCGGGGGGTTGAGAGGGTGGTGGAGTTGAGTATTGCCTGCATTGGGACGATGAGTAGATGAGATGTCGTGTATGCTGTCCATGTCCAGTCGGTTTGCCTTGGAGCTGGAGCTGGAGGCGGAGGGGGGCGAGCCCTTTTGCGAAGTTCTTCGTTGCCATTGTATGTCTCACGTAGTCAGTCCAATATCTCCAGATTAATAAGTGTTCGGAATGTCGAATTGGGACGCGGGCTACTCCTGTCTCGTCTCAGTCACTTAGCTCAGTCGCTGTTGTGTTGTTGTCGCGACGTGTTGGGTTTGAGCTCGGTTGTTTGGCAGAAGGCTTCAATCTCTATATTCCTTATCCGCTGCCAAGATAACCAGCCCCGTCTGGGACGGCTCGACGAGGCTGAAGAACACGAAGGCAAGCTGCTGCGTTGCAGCAACGCGCATCTTCACCTTCGTCATTCGTACAATCCATGCTTCAGATGTGCGACGGCAGTAACACCCGCAGCAATGAGTACTGTTTTCCATGAGCATGAAGCCTTTGATCTTTGCACTTATTCCTTTCATTATTCGGTTTCCTATGGCTGGTCACTTCGGGCTGAGTCAGTTCCCATTGTCCTTGATCATTTCAGTTCTTGTTCTCCGAGAGTATTTTTAGCAAGAATGCAAAACATTCTTTGATTCTTTGCCTGATTCTTAACTTTTCTTGTTTTGCTTATCCAGGTAACATAGATCTACGGTCCTTGGCCTTTGTGGGGCTTGCTTCGGTGATGTTTCCTTCTTTCCTTGCATCGACGAACAATAATAATGCTGTCTAGGTCTTTGAAAGTTATAATTCTTCAAAGAAGCTTTGTCTTTCTTCACTGTCCCGAGTCTCAGATAATAACCTTTGTGTCATTCTTGCATAAATACCCCTGCTGTCAAGGTGATCGTTATCATCTCGGCAGCACCATTCGCATTTCAAAACATTTCTCACCAGTACCATACAACACTATTTGTTAGCTTTTACTGCTGTGCAGTATACACTTCCATCTCCTATTCTCTTGCAGTCTATTTTGGCACGTGCCACTCTATTCCACGTCCTCCTCTATCAACCGCTGATCATGGCCGAACCATGGCCAGTGGGCGAACCGCAGCCAGTGATAATCCCAATGCTGGAGGAGTACTCCGATGGCACCACCAGTTGCCTAGCACAGTGTCTGTTGGAGGAAATATATCGAGATTACCATTCTAAGCGTTTTACATTCATTGTTGCTCCAGAACGAAGGTTAGTTCCCATCTTCCGCTGGCATAAGGACATGCGTTCGCGCATTAACATCCTCTTCTCTGCACTCTCCGGTCCTCAAAGATACAAAATAGTATTTGTGGCCATTCTTTCGATATCGCCGGCCTTCATCGAAGCTCTCAGGTACGCTGTTGACGATCTCTGGACATTACTCGTTGGGCACTTGACAGCAAACAAATCAAGCATCGAGTTTTTCGCGCGGTCGCGGGGTCTGCCCTGGCTTCGAGCCGTCAGAGAGTTGATCCCTGGATTATGCCGCCGAGACCCAGAGCCTCTTTTGAGCTCCTTCACTGATCATATTGTGGGACTTTACCCAACTCCCAACTCCATCAGCGATGAAGTCTTGCACCAAAATCTTAACGCCCATGGCCCAGACACGTACTATTTATCGATGACAGGCGCGATAGTTCCCATCCTAGCCCCGAGCTACAACGATGCCCAGCCCTCAGACCTCCAAGTTATAGACATCGAAGAGTGCACCTATGACCCCGCTCTCTTCTACCAATACGACCGTACGCCCGACTGGCCATGGCAAACCTGGCCACGCCAACCCCAAATCTGCGATGCCCCGGACATAGACGGCGTATACCACGAGCCTCCCCGCTGCGTGAAATGCGACCACCGCTTCTCCGGGGAAGAAGATTGGCATAACCCATTTACTGGCTGCCAATGCCACGACATGATGCACGCGTGGCAAGGTGTGTTGATCCAGATAGTTGAGTATCCCCCGTTCCCCGATCAGCCGAACGTCGTGAACCGCGGGGTGCGGGCCCTGCAAGCATTAGCTCCTAAGGCCCTGATAGGTGAGTACACGGGGGTCCTGGTGCCTAATGCTGATTACGATCCGCATTCTGAGATTTGCGACAACACCTACCTGTTTGGGTTATATGACCAAACATACCGGCGTTATGTCGCCGCCATCTCGGCGCGGCTGTGTGGGAACTGGACGAGGTTTATCAATCATACTGATGATGAAGACAAGCAGAACGTTAAATTTATTAATGTACGGATACTGAACAGATTGAGGGTGATGGTTATGACGACTAAGCAGATCAACCTTGGGGAGGAGATACTGGGACATTATGGTGAGGGTTACTTCAAGAGCAGGCAATTCTGAAGCAAATAGACATAGACATAGATATAGATATAGAAGAATACCATTCATTCCTTTGATTCATGGCCCAGAAAAGCAAGATAGGTGCTGACATCGATCCCCAGCTCCAAACGATCCCATTGCAGACTCTTGGGCCGCGCGAGTAGTTGCGAGGCTTATGTTGGTTGTTGGTTACAGATGTGAATAAACGATTGGCGACACGTCGACGGCGCGTAAACCCGAGGTTGTGGCTCATGCAACCTCGTTTTTCGGGAGCGCTTAAACAACCACCACCCGTCCACAACCCAGGCTTTCCCCGTTTATTCGTCCCCTGTTTATGCGCCCGGCACGACGGTGAAACGGTATGCACGGCAGGTATGGATATAGACGAGTCATACCAGCCGTCATCTGGTCTTTGACGCCGGAAAGTCTGCCAGCAGGGAAGGCTGAGGGTTTTCGGGCGGTCTGCCTGCATCTGCCCGTGCCCGTGTTGGAAGTCCAACATGCATAGCTGCCTTCATGGCGATCGGCGTATATGAGTCTGCGGGTATGTAAGTAGAGGGACGGAATCGTCTCCCTTTCTTAAGTCATTACAGTTACTACTCTCATGTTTCTATTTCGCTGCGAGTTTGTGTGACGAGGCTGGTGAAGCCACTATTCAATACATTTCCTACTCATGTTTCGATAAGACTGGCATGCAGCATCGAGCCATTACTATTGTTAGCTGCCGATGCGTTGGCTCCTCGGATACGATTGCTCTTCATTCTCCACAGTAGGGCTTTTCTGTTGCGTGGACGACAAAGACGCGGCATCTACGACGGGTTTCTGTTGCAGATACGGAGAGAAGGCATCTATCACACAGTCTATCCCAAAAATTACCCTTACTACTGCGGAGCAGCCAAGGACGAGACTTCACCCGCTCATGATAGCCACCCGACAATCTGCTCAAACACGCCAGCAGTCTTCAATCGCGCCTCCGCAACCTACAGCGACTCTCACCGTGCCTGTGGCAACTGGTCGAAAGCACATACAGCCTGAAATGGCGCAATCACAATTCATGCCGACTCCTCTTCTGCCCACGGCAACTCTCCGGATGAGTTCAACAGCTACTAACCAAGGTGTGACGACGCCCCGGCTGGATTCAACTGCCCAACATCCTTGGAATCGTCAACGACAGTCGTCCTACGAGCAACCACGCGAGCCCATAGCACAGCGACAACTGCCGAGTCGGAAACAGCTGCCGTCTTACAATATGCCCCCAACTCAAAGACAACTGTCAACTCGTCAACGACAGCCGCCCTACGATAATCCCTCTAGTGCAAGACAACCATCGCCTCGTCAACAGCCGTCATCCCAAGGGTTGCTAGTAACTCAGCAACCCACCGACCCGGAACAGATAGCGGCCCTGAATTTGAAACTTGAAACTTATCGCCAGATCATAGTCGATCTAATGAGGCCGACCATCAGTCAACAAGTGCCCGCAGTCAGTGCTGAACAGATAAGAACAAGTCTTCGAAAAGCCGTGTCCAATCCACAACCTCGAACCACGGCCACGCCATATCCTGACACTCCACCATACTCCCCGCCGCCTAAACAAAATGCTGCAAGTCAGTCACAGATAAATCCCGAACGTTTTGAACTGCCTGCGACGAGCCTACAACAATCCAGGCCCGTCCCACGCATCATTACAACTCCACCCTACGTGTATACGAACCCTTACAGGAATAAGAGGTCCGAACTTAGTGCAGCAACAGGAAATCACCACAGGACAATTTCTCAACCTCAAATGGAGCGTTCCCAATGGCCTTCGACGCCGGACCTATCCGAGGCGCCTTCTCGGACGCTCAGCGGGAAAGAAGTGCCCAAGTCAGAGCCGCCCAGACAGGCTCGTGATTCCAATGATGTCCCTGTGCCACCCGGCTGCTGCATCCTAGACCGGAGAGCCATTGAGCGTGGACTGGGTCTGATGGCGCAGTACTTGCACCAAAACAACGCCGACCTGACCATCATTGCCGTCGGCGGGGTGGTCTCTGCGTTCTTCCTCGGCGCCTGGACCACGAGCACCGATGTCGACGCTCTAGGATCTACTCTCACCACCGCCCAGCGCAGGTTGCTCGCCAGCGCTGCATTACACGCTAAATCTCGCGGCCCCGTGCGGCTGGGCGACGGGTGGTTCAGTGGCGAGAGCGCGAAGGATATGCGCCCCGAGGTAGCGCGCGACGTCTACGAACTCTCCAAGCAGCAGAACGACATTGTGTACTGCAGCGAGGGACTGACGGTCTTGGCGCCGCGGTGGAGTTATGCATTTATGGTGTGCGTGGACCGACTGTCTCGTGGCGTAGGGAGGCCCTATGATATGGGCAATGCGGTGCTGTATATGCATCAGTACATCAAGATCGGGAAGCACAAGCTGATTCCGATCTTGGGGATTATGAAGTGGGGGGAGGGGTATGGTTTACATGTTACCATGGAGGTACTACGCGTTGTCAAGGCGCAGTATCTGAGGCATTATGATAGGGAAGCAATTTCGGAATGATTTTAAATATCGCTCTTATATTTTTGGTTTGCTGCATTTTAGCTGGTTTCATAGCATAAGCGGACCTGGGATGATGGAGTATGCATTGGGATTTAGATGGGCCAGGCCCTTTCTTAGTCTCCTAAATGATACCCCATTCTGTTTTTGAAGTGCTTTGGAATCTTCATTTGTGATGATAAAAAAACCGGACGGAAGTATGACCCTTAATAAATTTATGTACCCGCAAAAATAACCACGGAAGGAACGACTCAACACGAACGACGCAAATAGCTCCTTCCCCAAATAAACTCTTACTTGCCTTTTAATTTCCCCCCCCCGAACCCCTCATCCATAAAAATCTTCGAAATCCTCAAGCCGGGAGGCATTTTTATGTTGCGAAACTGTTTGCTACATAATGCATATTTTGCCAGTCCCCCTCAACAACCACCAGCCCTGCTGGCACAATTGGTTAGCGCGTGGGCCTTTTATGCAGATGATTCGTCGTCAGCTAAAAGACAAGCCCAAGGTTCAGGGTTCGAGACCCTGGTGGGGCGTGCATTCTGTGGTTTTTTTTTTGGGTTTTTTTTGTCGCTTAAGGTCGCCCATCCTAAAGACTTATCTGTATTTATGATTGATGGAGGCTTTGAGGTTTTTTTTTGCACAGCGTTTGGTTCGTTTGGGTTAGCCAGGCGAGGTGGCGGGTATGAGCTGGTATGCGTTCATCGCCATCACTCTCCTCCGTACGTTCTTGGTGAACAATAATTATGTGAATATATTACAGGCACGATGATGGTATACTAGCTGCATGGTTTTCTGGTATATAGTTCGATATTTATAGTAAATGGCATACCAGCTACAATCTACGTATTTCAATGAACTTTTTCATCCAAAGCAAGGTCCCTTCTAAATCTAACACACCCCCACTCTCAATTTACAAGAACTTGCTGTCCTTGACAGTGTACAAGTCGACATACTCATCAATAGCCATGGCCTCCAGTTTCTTGCGGTCGTTTCCGAGATCGACAAGCTCCTTAACCCTCGCGGCATCGAAATGCGGGCCGAGATGCCTCTTGTACTTCTCGAGGATGACCGGCTTGGCCTCCTCTCTCCTGATCCTGTGTCCCAGCGGCGCCTCAACAACGATCTCGTCAAACACCGTGCCGTCGTTAAGGGTGACGGTAAGCGCGTTGGGGATGGTGCGCAGCTTCTCGTCATGGTAATCGCGGGTGAACTGCTCGTCCTCCACGCACTTGATCTTCTGGCGGAGGCTCTCGACGAGCGGCGAGGTGGCGGCTTCTCCACCGTCAGTGTAGTCGGTGGCCTCGAGACGTCCGTAGACAAGCATGACCGAGGCCATGTACTGGATGCAGTGGTCACGATCGGCAAAGTTGTCCATGGGCTTGAACTGTTTGTCGATAATGCGGATGCATGCCTCGTGGGTGCGGCAGGTGATCTCCTTGATGTCGGCGGCGGACTTGCCCATCGCCTCGAGCTTGTGGTAGACAGCCTTGGCGGCTTCAATCGCAGTCTGCGAGTGGAATTCGGCTATCATCTGGTTAGTCGCTGAAAATGTTGAGCGGTGGAAAATCTAGACTTACCAGGGTAGGAGACCTTGAACAAGACGTTCTCCATTACGTAGCTGCCGTATGGGCGCTGGAACTCGAACTTCTTGCCCTTGAAGAGGACATCGTAGAATCCCCACACTGGTGCGGAGAGGACGGTTGGGACACCGGGCTCGCCCTTGGCGACCTTGAGGACGAGGTTGACGGCACGCTGGCAAGCGTCACCGGCAGCCCAAGACTTGCGGGACATGGTGTTGGGGGAGTGTCTGTAGGTACGGAGGGACTGGCCGTCAACCCAGGCCTGGGAGACAGCGTCGGCGGTCTGCTTCTCGGACAGGCCGAGGAGCTTGGAGATGACGGCGGTGGAGGCGACCTTGACGAGGACAACGTGGTCGAGACCGACCTTGTTGTAGGAGTTGAGGAGAGCCAGGCAGCCCTGGATCTCGTGGGCCTTGATCATGGCCTCGAGAACCTCCTTGACGGTGATGATCTTGCCGTTGCCAAGGTTTCCGCCAGCACGGTTGGTGCGGGAAATCCAGTCAGCGACAGCGAGGATGGCACCCAGGTTGTCAGATGGGTGACCCCACTCAGCGGCCAACCAGCAGTCATTGTAATCTAACCATCTGACCATGGCACCGATGTTGAAGGCAGCGTTGACGGGGTCAAGCTGGAACGGTGTGCCGGGAACCTTGGGGCCGTTGGGGACAACGGTGCCCTCAACGATTGGGCCAAGGAGCTTGGTGCACTCCTTGAACCTGAGACCCTCAAGACCACATCCTAGAGTGTCGAGGAAGACGAATCGTGCGGTGTCGAACTGAGGTTTGCGTTAGCTGGGAGAATCCTTCGGGGGATTGCCGAGGTGGGGTAACATACAGCGAGATCCGAGTCAATCGGGGTGTTGTGGACGAAAGAAGCGATGTCCTTGATCTCTGGGTCATACTCTCTTGCGACCGGCGCCGGGGGAGCACCAGATTGAAGTTTAGACATCGTGGAGAAGCTGCTGGTTCTGAGGGCGGCAGAGGTGCGAATGGCGGGGTTGGTGAAGTTGATGCGGTTGAGAGCCTGAGCACGGACGGCTCTAGTCGGTAAGCGGATGGACTGGACAGATGCAGCTCGCAGAGTTCTGTTGATCGCCGACATTGTCCTGCTGCCAAAAAGACAGATATCTCCGAAATGGGCAATTGAGAGGCTACGGTGCGGTTTATGGCTGAGCCGTCGTAATTGGGAGAATTGTGGTGATGTAAGAGAGTGGCCGCTGAAAGGAATTTATGAGACGATTCTGGCCGCTACAGGGTTGGCTTGGGGCATTGGGGCGGTTTTGTGGCTATTGCCGGCGTTGCTGGTGTCCATGCCAACACCCGAGGCTAATCGGCCAATTGGACCAACAACCGACCATGTGCGAGGTCGGCACCTCCTGACATCGACAGCTCCGTGGCAACTCCGGCGATGTTTATTGTATGAAACTATAATGAGGGGTTGACGGTTTTGAGTTATGGTTATATGCTATGGGCTTTATTAGGACTTGGCATATTGGATTTGACATGTGCGGGGATTTTTCTGTATACAATTTTAATTGGTAGCATAGAACGCCTCGATTGAATGGAGTAGTGGGATAAATATAAGATCGTACAGTGATATAGTTCATTGCCCGACACTTCCAAACTACATATAAGATTAACGTATTTCACATGCGAGTGACGCACACAACCGAGTGACGCAGCCCATTTTACACCCAAAATCATAAATTTTGTAACTAAATATCTCAACAACTATTTAGTTATAAAATTCATGATTTTAGGTGTAAAATGGGGTGCGTCAATCGCATGTGAAATATGTTCGGGCCCAACCGTGAACTGAGCTGGTTCATGAACTGGCCGGCCTAACCGTAAACTCGGCCTAACCCAAAGTCAGCCTAATAAGTAGTGTAGATAGTATTGTAGAATATTTAAATCCTATAACGTATTTCCCAATCGAACCGTGCACCCGGTCGAACCGTGCAAAATAACCACCAAAATGCGTCTTCCTTCCATACAACTAATATGTCTCCAACACAAGCTTATTCTTCTAATCAAGAAGGTAGGATTCTTTTAGCTATACAAGCAATTAAATTATATCAATTTCGAAGCATACGAGCTGCTGCAATAGCATACGATATACCTCCTCAAACCCTTCGTGATAGGATAAAAGGAACAGCTCCCCGATGCAACACACCCTCAAATACTCAAAGGCTTACTTCTCAAGAAGAGGAAGCTATCGTACGATACATTCTCGACCTTGATTCGCGTGGATTCCCACCTCGGCCAGCTGCTGTACAAGAAATGTGTAATGGTGGGTGCACCAGATGTGAGAATTTAGCCACCCAAGGAAGGGATGATTTTACTAAGACAACACACTGTCTTAGGAAAAAGAGCCAAAGGGTCGTAGCTTAGACTATTCCACAACACAGCAATCAGGTGTATGATGTAGTGGAGTGGTTTAGACAAGTTGTAACAAATGTTGAGTCTGAGAACTCAGGGATAAGTCAGAGGTTAGCACCTCACTGACTTTTCAGAAACAAGGAGTAACAAGATCAATGCTTGGAAGCTTGGAAAAGACGTAGAAGTATGTGATAGTCGATTTACTGTATTGTCTGCTTGCCCTTTCTTAAGGAAAGGGCAATCCTATTTATGCTAAAGGAGTGTAGTTCTCTCATTTTCCAAGACTTTCCATGACTAACTGTCATACTGACATTCGTTGCACTCAGTTTGCTATCAAACTCAAGAGCAAACTTAGAAATCTCCTCCTCAAACCTACAAGTCACCATACATATCTTGGCTTATCACACCAACAACAGAAGCAATACTACTCAACGATTGCTGCAAACTCTTCGACTACATCTGTTTATGCTACATACATCACGGCATATCATTTGGACACTCATTGAACAAGTTATTAAGAAAATCTCCTCCTTAAGGGGGTGGGCCAATACTACCACATGGCATATCTCTACCAACTAGAGGCCTAGGAACATGAACGATAGCTCTAGAAGCTTCTACAACCCTCTATGATTCATTACACGTCATCGCTCCTTAGTTACCCACAAGATTGGTTAAGTTATGACATAATTTATCTATAGGTACTCTGACCTTGGACCTCCTTTTCACTTCCTATAGGCTAGGAACCCAAGAGATGGTTCTATGGGATTCTCTTACATTCGCTACATGATTAGCAAGCTAGTTGTGGGTCGCACTTGATTTCTAATACATTTACCAAGCCTGGTTAGTCATGGAAAGTCATGGAAAATGAGAGAACTACACTCCTTTGGCATAAATAGGATTGCCCTTTCCTTAAGAAAGGGCAAGCAGGCAATACAGTAAATCGACTAGCACATACTTCTACGTCTTTTCCAAGCTTCCAAGCATTGATCTTGTTATTCTCTGTTTTTGAAAAGTCAGTGAGGTGCTAACCTCTGACTTACCCCTGAGTTCTCAGACTCAACATTTGTTGCAACTTGTCTAAACCACTTCACCACATCATACACCTGATTGCTGCGTTGTGGAATAGTCTAAGCTACAACCCTTTGGCTCTGTTTCCTAAGACAGTGTGTTGTCTTAGTAAATTCATCCCTTCCTTGGGTGGCTAGATTCTCATATCTGGTGCACCCACCATTACACTAACCAGGCTTGGTAACTGTAGTCGACGTAAGAGAATCCCATAGAACCATCTCCTAGGTTCCTAGCCTATAGGAAGTGAAAGGAGGTGTAATGGTGGGTGCACCAGATATGAGAATCTAGCCACCCAAGAGGGATGAATTTACTAAGACAACACACTGTCTTAGGAAACAGAGCCAAAGGGTTGTAGCTTAGACTATTCCACAACGCAGCAATCAGGTGTATGATGTGGTGAAGTGGTTTAGACAAGTTGCAACAAATGTTGAGTCTGAGAACTCAGGGGTAAGTCAGAGGTTAGCACCTCACTGACTTTTCAAAAACAGAGAATAACAAGATCAATGCTTGGAAGCTTGGAAAAGACGTAGAAGTATGTGCTAGTCGATTTACTGTATTGCCTGCTTGCCCTTTCTTAAGGAAAGGGCAATCCTATTTATGCCAAAGGAGTGTAGTTCTCTCATTTTCCATGACTTTCCATGACTAACCAGGCTTGGTAAATGTATTAGAAATCAAGTGCGACCCACAACTAGCTTGCTAATCATGTAGCGAATGTAAGAGAATCCCATAGAACCATCTCTTGGGTTCCTAGCCTATAGGAAGTGAAAAGGAGGTCCAAGGTCAGAGTACCTATAGATAAATTATGTCATAACTTAACCAATCTTGTGGGTAACTAAGGAGCGATGACGTGTAATGAATCATAGAGGGTTGTAGAAGCTTCTAGAGCTATCGTTCATGTTCCTAGGCCTCTAGTTGGTAGAGATATGCCATGTGGTAGTATTGGCCCACCCCCTTAAGGAGGAGATTTTCTTAATAACTTGTTCAATGAGTGTCCAAATGATATGCCGTGATGTATGTAGCATAAACAGATGTAGTCGAAGAGTTTGCAGCAATCGTTGAGTAGTATTGCTTCTGTTGTTGGTGTGATAAGCCAAGATATGTATGGTGACTTGTAGGTTTGAGGAGGAGATTTCTAAGTTTGCTCTTGAGTTTGATAGGAAACTGAGTGCAACGAATGTCAGTATGACAGGAGGTCCAAGATCAGAGTACCCCTATAGACAAATTATGTCATAACTTAACCAATCTTGTGGGTAACTAAGGAGAGATGACATGTAATGAATCATAGAGGGTTGTAGAAGCTTTTGGAGCTATCGTTCATGTTCCTAGGCCTCTAGTTGATAGAGATATGTCATGTATAGTATTAGCCCAGTAACTAAGGAGTGATGTCATGTAATGAATCATAGAGGGTTGTAGAGATATGCTATGTGGTCATATCAGCCCAGTAACTAAGGAGCAATGACGTGTAATGAACCATAGAGGGTTGTAGCAATCGTTGAGTAGTATTGCTATTGTTGTTGGTGTGACAAGCCAAAATATGTATAGTGGCTTGTAGGTTTGAGGAGGAGATTTCTAAGTTTGCTCTTGAGTTTGATAGCAAACTGAGTGCAACGAATGTCAGTATGATAGCATAGTGCGGAAGTGCGCCGCATGCTGATATGCGCCGCATGCTGATAAACAACGTTATATGCTTTTTAAATTCATCTTTAATAGATACCTTAGCTATAACGTGGTTTATCAGTACGTCGGACATATCAGTACCTCGGACACTTTTCATTGGCATTCTACTTTGAATATAAATAAATCAACCATAACATATTAAATTAACTATAACTAAGCGGAATCAGATGAACTAGACATATCTATAGCTTCTTGACAAGTTCGCACATTATGACCAGCTTTTCCACAGATCCCACAGCATCGCCTAGATGGTTGCCCCTCCTTGCGACTACCCCCAACCGCACGTACGTCGCGTCGTACCTGCTCATCCACATCCTTCTGTGCGATAATAGCCTGTGCATCCTCTACTATAAGTGCACCTCTTCACGGACACGAGCCTTTTTAGCCCTGCGGCGTTTGCTAAGGGCTTCGTTGGCTGCTCGAAGGGTACGTACCTCAGCAGACAGAAGGGTGTTCTCATGTGCTAGTCGCTCCGTACCCTTTGCCAATGCAATAACTGTCCCAAAGAGTGGAGTTGGCGAGCTTCCTTGGTGATGGGCAATTCGATTTCGAATGAGGGTTGTTTGTGAAAGAGGTTCAGTTGGGTTGGAAGGGGTCTGGGAGACCCAAGGGTTGGTGTTGGCAGTAGAGGGTCTAGAGGGAGTTGGAGTCCGTAACCTCACGTTCAAGCTTTGAAAGCACTGCTTGCGGGTCGAAAGGCACTAAGCCAGCTCCGCGGAACCCGGACTGGGCGTTTTGGGCTGTCATGGATTCCAGATATGCTGCTCTAAAGGCGAGAAAGAACTCGACCTTGGTAATGTGGTTGATATGAGCCTTAATGAAGGTCTCAATCTGCTGACCATATGCCCGCTTCAACACACTAAAGCACCCGACATCAAGTGGCTGAGTTAAATGAGACGAGTGGGGAGGTAGTCCAAGAGTTATAATGTTGTGTGCCTTGCAGTACTCTTGGAACTCGGCCGATTCATGACTCTCGTGCCCGTCTAACACCAGCATTCGATATGGACCCCTTGCACGAACAGCAGTATGTTTGTCGAAGTGTTTCAACCATTCTAGACCCGTCTCATTGTTTGTCCATCCATTGCTTGTCAGTTTAACAACCCAGTTGTGTGGA